TATAGGAGTCGGGGGTCAGTGAGAGGTTTTCTGCAGGTCAAAGTGGAATGCTTATAGGAGTCGGGGGTCAGTGAGAGGTTTTCTGCAGGTCATACAAAGTGGAATGCTTATAGGAGTTAGGGGTTGGTGAGAGGTTTTCTGCAGGTCATACAAAGTGGAATGCTTATAGGAGTCGGGGGTTGGTGAGAGGTTTTCTGCAGGTCATACAAAGTGGAATGCTTATAGGAGTCGGGGGTTGGTGAGAGGTTTTTTTGGTTCCCAGAAAGTATAGCAATGAATGTATGTATTGACTTGTGTGAAATGAACACAGGTCAATCTAGGAGCAGAGTATAATGAATGAAATTATGAACTGTGCTTACATTTCTGTTAATGGACAAGATTGACATGCAGTCTTTTGAATTTAGTTATTTTTTATTGGAGGTGATTATATCCATGGGACACATTCATTGAATTGTTTGTTTTATATTGCCTTGTATGACTTTTTCATATGGGCAACATTGATTGAGTCATTTGTTTCACATGTTCTTAGAATTTTTTTTCTATGGTCATATTGGTTTGATCATTTACTTGGTAACCTTGGGTGAAATCTTTTTAATTTTATTCACATATCAAATTAGAACTTCAATTTTATACTGGGAAATCATGAGTTAAAATTCTTTCTGAAGATTTTGGGACAAAAAAAGCAAAAATTTTTTGAGTAAAAACTGAAAATTGACTCAAATTTTGTCTGTTTACTCCAAAATTTGGTTTCATTTCAAGGACATATTGAAAAATATAAGAAAAAAATGTAGACAAATTTGGTTGAGAGTCTGGATGTGAAAAGGTTATGCTGAAAAAACAACAGAATGTGAAATTTGACATTTATGCAAGTTTATATATACAAATTTTCAGTTTAACATTTGCAGACACCAAACAATGTACGGTACTGAGGATGTGTTTGGCTGCAAGCATTTATCCATTCTTTCATTCTGTCATTTTATATGTCAGTTGATCAGTCAGTCAACTGATTACGCTGGAATACAATTCTCAGATATCATTAATTTACAGCAGACAGTTTCTTTTGGTGATAAATGCTAATTTGTTCATTTATGAGCAGTAAATTTATGATTTTATGTTTTCCCTTTAAATTACAATACATGGGATATAATCAAGCATTCAAATATTTATTTGCAACTCTGAACAGATTCGTTAAATTTTTTTATTTTTTTTTTGTTGTTGTCAAAATGAGACAATAGAGTACTCATATTAGTTTGAAATGTATACAAGTCGTGTTCCTTCTTGCATTTTATATGCCCTTTTTATTTTTAAGTGTGTATGAAACATCAAATTTGCTTAATGTGGCCTCGCATCTCAGAGTATAAAGTAAATGTGTTAGGGGTACTATTATACATCCTGATTGATTGGGCCAATGGGTTCAAGTTATTTGTTATGCATTAACTGTAAGCCTCAGGGTTTTTTTTTTTTATGTTTCTGTAGTAATCTGTTATACATGTAGGTCTTGAACACAAATTATATAGGGTCTGCAGGTATGACTATAACATGTACTAAGGATTATTTATTGTGATCTGCAAATAAACTGCTGTTGTTTTTTCTTTCTTTTTTTCTTTTTTTAATTTCTAGACAATAAAATCACTGCTATGTCTCTGAATTTTTTGTTTTTGTTTTAGATACTAATTGTGCCCATGTTAACATTTTCACCACCAGATCACTTTTTTCACAAATTCACAAAATAGTATCATAGTCTGCACTTTCTTTCAAAAGATTGGGACAAAAATAGACAAATTTTTTGAGTAAAAACTGAAAATTGACCCAAATTTTGTCTGTTGGCTTCAAAATTATGTTTCATTTCCAGAAATATTGAAGGAATATAAGAAAAATGTGCAGACAATATAATTTGGGCGTGAAAGTCTGGTGGTAAAAAAGGTTAAAATCTCCCTATCCAAATACTGCATGCTTTGAATGCTGGGAAGATTGTATTCTGATTTATAGTGTAAGTGCACAGTCTGCTCCGGGAATCAAACCAACCACCTCCCTGTGAGAGTTGAATTTATTTTAACAATTCTCTGTCATCGTTCACGTCCTAAATAAATAAACTGCTGTTGCTTGAATTGAATTGATTACAAGAGACAAGTATAAATTCAACCTGTTATAAAAGGACATTCAAGTATTTCTTACAATTTTATGTTTTAAATGTGTTGCAGAATTATTTGTTTGGTTGCAAGTTATCAATTTTGATTATTTTTATTCCAAATACTGTAAAATACTTCATTTTTGCTTGGAATTAATTTTCACTATTTTCGCTGAAGTAATGATTCAGTTAAAATAAAATCCAGTGAATATACTTTTTAGTCCCCGTTCGGACGCAGTCCGAAAACGGGGACTTATGTTTTGCCCTGTGTGCGTCCGTCCGTGCGTCCGTGATCACCTGTATCTCGAACATGCATGGACCGATTAAGTTCAAACTTCACTCATACATCACACATTATATGGGACATATGCACTAGCATTTTTTTCATGATCTGATTAACGATAGCCGAATAGCGGCCATTTTAAGGCCGAAAATGCATCAAAATCGCACATTTTCACCATTCCGGACCCGGATCTCAGTTATGCATGGACGGATTTTGTTCAAATTTGGTACATACATTAAACATAATAGGACCTTGATGCACGTCATTCTTTTTTTTGGATCGGGTTCGAAATGGCCGACTGGCGGCCATTTTGTTTTAAAGAATTCAGTTCTGGATCC